TCTCTCTCTCTCTCTCTCTCTCTCTCTCTCTCTCTCTCACACACACACACACACACAGGGCACACACATGTACACAAATAAATCTAATACACTTTTAGAAATCAAATTTTCTGGTTCCTGGAAAGATGGCTGAGTGGCTAAGAACAATTGTTATTTCAGATCCCGTCTGTTCACAACTATTTGTAACTCCAGTTCCAAGGGATCCAACACCCTCTTCTGATCGGAGGGCACCAGGTATGTGGTACACACACATGCAGGCAAAACACTCAGACACAGAAAATAAGGTTAAGTTTAAAGATGAAGCTGTCCATTGATAGGACAGACCAATGAACCAGGAACCCAAAGAAAAGAAATGTCAACAAGAAGCTGGCCTACAGTTCCATGGTAGAGCATTTGCCCACATGATAAGCCCCTGGATTTGAACCCAGCATAATCCCCCAACACACACTTACCAGAAACAGCTATACCTCATTAGAATACACATATGCAAAACAGATGCAAATTAACTCAACAAAGCCCATCAGTTAGCAGACATCAGATGATTCCATTCTAGAAGGCAGGCCAGGTAGAAAGAAACCATAATTTCAAGGTTACTTGTTTGTTTTGGTTTGCTTAAACAGGAGCATGCATTGTAAACCCTGATAAAAGTAACATTTTTGTTATTTATTATTTATTTGATTGAAGACAGGTCTCACGTAGCTCAGGCTGCCCTCAAACTCACTGTACATCCTAGTTCTCCCTGAACTGAGGTTCCTAAAGTGCTGGGATCATAGGTGTGTGCCACCACACCTAGTTTATTCAGTGCTGGGGATGGAGCCCAGGACTTGGTACATGCTGGGCAAGTACTGTATCCATTGAGCCACCTCTCCAGCCCTGTTTTGTTTTGTTTTTGAGGAAAAGGAAATGAGTTCACACAGCCTCAGGGAAACATCTACTGCAGCTAAAGAACTTCCTAGATACTTCTAGAACTCCCCGAGATTCGAATGGAAAGTGGCAGCCTCCTTTGGGGTCAGGCAGGACTCACAGAGGGGCCTTGTCACAAATGGATACAGAAATAAACTACAAGGAGCAGTGTGGCACCACAAGAGGGCTCTGAGTCTGAGACACAGGGTGTCCTGTTCCTAGTTCAGCTAGAATGTCCCTGGTGTGCAGACAGATGGCATCCAGGAAGTCAGTCATGGTATTCTCACAGGTAGTGGCTGATCCCGAACAGCCTCGCCATCACGGAGACCTGGCCATTACAATGTGGGACTCTGCTAGCCCTGGCTTTAGAACACAGCATGAGTGGGTGGTACTGACCACAGGGTTTGACCAGGAACCAGTCTACTCCTGGATGCCCAATAGTGCCTTAAGACACAATTCAATTCAGACACCATTTGCTTATAGCTAGTGTAGAACCCACAAGTTAAGCCTCAGTCACACAAGACTTTACAGCTTCACATGCTAAGTGTAAGTCTCCCTAGTCTTCAAGGCAATTGTCTACAAACAGAGGGTGCCCACTACACACTCTCAAGTTCAAACAAACAAACAAACAAAAAGCTAGAATGTTGCTGGGTCCTAATGGCTTCCTCGGGAGAGGGGGGTGAGAAGGTTCAGCATCAATG